CCGGGGAAATACGTACTCTTAACGCCATCCAGAAATAAGCGCGCGATGGACAAATTGTGGAGAGGTCGGTGCGCGTCGGTCGACGACCTCGTCCGATTCCGGCCGCTCCGACTCGAGATTCGTTCCGATCGCGTAAATCGGTAAGAACCCGCAAAGGGCGTTTTAACGCTTTCTCGATCAACGAGACGGAACGGAGCGCGACGGGGCGCGACGGGGCGCTTTTTTATCTAACAATAACACCTTCTTTCTCTCTTCGGCGGAACGAGCGTTCCAATGCACCGTCGCGCGCTGTCGTTGTCGCGTTGCTCGCTCGAAACCGGAATACGATCGTAAAAGCCGAACGCGGATGTAGGCGCGTTTCGTATCGAAAAATCGAAAGATCGAAAGATCGAAAGATCGTTCCCTCCCGTGAGCCGTTATCTCGTTAGCGATGCCGGAATCGACGAGTTTCCTCGGTGCTTGAAATCACCGTCGCGCGACGTTCCGCGATAAAGAATCGAAAGGAACGGAGGCGACGGCTGGGACGGATGCGCCTCGAAAACGAAAACGAAAACGAAAACGAAAACGAAAACGAAAACAGCCGAGCACGGCGACCGTAATTGCGAGACGTTTACGATCACGGTCGGAACGAATGTAGAACCAGAGATGGAAAGGCGACGGAGCATCGAGACGGGAGACGGCGACGCATCGTTCGATCGCGGTATATCCCAGTCGACGCCGACGAACTTTCGACGAGTCGCGCGAACGCTCGAAAGCGAAAAGTTCTTCCTAATCGAAAGAGAAGCGGCCGCGTGCCAAGACCCGCTACCGCCGGCGGAATTCTCGTCCGATAAAAGGAACGACCGACGCCGACAACGAGCAACGCGCGGAAGGCGAAAGACCTTCGACAAGGTGAAACTTTTGCGCGTCGCGTTCGAACGTATTCGATCTTGAATCGCCGGAGCGACGACGTGCCGCGTAAATTCGTGCGCTTCGCGTTTCTATAGTCGACGCGATATTCTCGCGTTCCGAGCGTTTGCACGCGTCGTACGTTGTTGCATTGTGCACGCAACGCGCGCGCACAGACGTCGTCTCGAGAATCCGCTAAATATAGAATGTTATCGACCGAATAAGAATCGGGAAAATAGCTTCCCGAGTCGAATGAAATCATATTTTTGCCGGTTTCGATTCCGCAAGTTTTTCCATCGTCGATTCGCACGCGTGTTCCACGAACGTTGTCGGAGAGGATGTCGGAGAGGATGTCGTCGTTTCACTTCGAGTCGATTCTTATCTCGGAAAATTCGTTTTGCTCGAAAGAAGCGCGTATACGCGCATACATTTTCGTCGGTGCGACGTCGCGTAGCGAGAGACGGTAGGTACGCGTTATCCGCGGCAACGCGTAATCGTTTTCGACTCCGCGCGGTGAGCAACGCGTGTCCGTAACAATTTATAGAACGCGGAGAAGGAGAGATCGCGTTGGCCGATAAACGCGATCGCGCGAGTCACCGACAACCGTTGACCGATAATGCGACTCGTTCGAATCGACCAAGTCGATGCTTACTTTTGGCAGTGCGATGCTTGTCTCGGGTGTTCCGAAGCTGACGCAACCAACCGTCATTTTTAGGATCTCCGACGTTCGCGCGTACATATGTACGCGGATGTTTACGCGCGAACGATCGAAAACTTATCGAGATGGAAAACCGGTGGACGAATCTATTTTAACGCTTTGTTTCCCAGATTCTGCTCAACCGATCCACGTGTTTACGAATGTTCCGATACCCCGCGCGTCGAATAATTAGATAACGAACGAATTCGAGTAAATGGACGCTCTATAAGTTGGCACTGCACGCTTCTAGGCAAGCTTGAAAACAAGAGGTTTCCAGGGGAGGAATGTTTTGAAAGTGGAAGAAAGTTGGTCGAGAGAATCGGTATCGTAAGTGGGCGTTCGTACGGCCGACGACGCTCGATCGCTCGATCCCGCGATCGACCGATCGACTGTACCGATCGACCAGCTTGTGCCACGTGCGAAAACCGGTTTACGCTCGCCGTTCGTTTCGTACGAACGAATGCTGCCCTTTAAATTCTCGATTCGGTTGAGAAACCAAATTCGTCCGTTCGATCGAACCTGCGTCGTTGTCGTACCGTTGATCCGAAACGCCGCGACAGCGATCGCGCGCGCGCGCACGATTATCGTGCACCGATTACGCAACACGCAACAACCGCGCGATAACGTTATTACCGTATAAATCCTGCGGACGCGTCCAATCGTTGCGAATCGTGAAAAAAGGAATCGGTCGCGTTCGCGTCGTAGCTCGCGAATCGTAAATTTGGCCAAACTCGAAAAGATGGAAGCGCGAGAGACGCGTTATCCGTCCGCCCAAGGAACGTCGAAACGTGTTTACGAGCAAGCGTAACACCGGAGTGTTTACATAGGTATAGATTGTAGATAACGTCGAACAAACGGTACTCGGTCGAACGAGGACGCGTCTCGTGACTCATATACGTATGTAGGTAAACAATCGACCGGCTCTGTGGTCTTACGTAATATTAATACGGCTAATAAACTTACGACGCAATAATGTAGCGATTATGCGGGCAACAAGTTCACGCGACGTCGAACGGTTGAAAACAAACTTCGATGGCCGACGCGAGCCTGCGCACGACTCGTCGTGCGATCGCGCGACCGTGTGCTCGCGCAGAGGTGTCGCGGCGTTTGGGAGTGTACGCGTACACGACTGGGTGCGCGTACACGTACAATGTACATTCGATGCTGCATGCTCGCAATTAGTTGCTACATACGTACTTGCTACAGGCTACAGGCTACGAAAGCTGAAGCGATAGATGTTCGCGTGTCCTTTCCCGTTCCTTTTTGCTTTTTCTTATTCTCCTTTTCCTTGTCGTACAAATACGTACGTTCGAGCAGAATAATTTCACAAATTGATTATCCCACGGTTCGTAGCGTCGACGGTTCGCCGATATCGGAGTCGACGCCTTCGTCTCGTTTTACATATTTTCGTTTCACCGAATAGCAGGTTGTACGAAGAACGGCGTTACACCGAAATCGTAATATCGTTGGAACGTTATAGGATTTACCGTATATACGTATACGTACAAGTAACGCTAGAAATTGATCGGACTCGAGTAGAATCGCGTACGAAAGCGGTACGCATCGGTGTGCGATACGCGGGTCGCACACCAACTCGATTCGTCTTCTGCGTTCTACGATCTACGTCGTTGTTTTACCACGATATGTTTTACCCACGTACGTACGTACACGGATACGATAAATACATACATACGTACGTATTACGTTTCCGTGGCCCGTAGCCATTGCGCGCGCGCGCATCTACACCCGAAAGACACGCAACACGCGACGGCGACGGCGACGGCGACGGCGACGCCGGACGACGCTGCGACGCCGTGACGCCGGCGAGGCCGTGGGTCGCGAGGCCACGCGACGCGAACGCCGGCGTCGCTTCCCATACATTTATCTGGTTTTGTCCTCGACGATTCGGGGTGTAAACGATACCAGATGTAAACATCTGTAATGCCCGAGTCGGAGAACGAGCCGACGAACGAGCAAACGACACATTTTCACAGAAACCTCGACAGAACGTTGTACGCCAAAGATGGCGCTTTTAACGGTGAGCTAATTCCAATCGCATCGGAACGATCAGTGACTCTCACGCGATGTCGGAGCCGGTCGCAACGGCGCCGGAGCATCGACGATCCGTCATCGAGGATCTTCTGGAAAGGAAATCGCACGTGGCGATTGCAGTCGACGAGCGTCGACGCTGCGATCTCGTCGCGTTTCCATCGCGTTTCCATCGCGCTTCCATCGCGTACGAATCGAGCGTATTTTGTTCCGCGAGCAACACCGACCGCGACAAAGGGGTCGGGGGAACATCGATTTGTCGCCGATCGAGTCTGCGTTCTTCTACGACCGATCAAAATTTTGTTACACCCGAGTCTACGTACGATCGGATAAACGACGACGAGAGATGAGAACCTCTGACGAGAGGGCTACGTGACAGAAGGCGCGAGTCTCTCGCGGCTCGACGGCGCAACGTGTTTTCAGAGGGCGTCGACGAAGTCAGGCGATCCTACGTGGAAGCGACTGAACGGAACGGAACGGAACGGGTGGGGAGAGAGAGCCGTGGTAAGGTACGGTTCGTCGAGGAAAGAGGGAAGGGAATCGCGGAGGAAAGAGCGGGCGCAGAGAAAGGGACGGAGAGAAAGAAAGAGGCGAAGCGGTGCCGCGTCGGAGACGCGTGCGAGAGCGAGAGCGAGAGCGAGCGCGAGCGCGTACACCGGCGGACACGGGAACGGTTGATTCGAGGAGGAACGGCGAGGAACAGCGAGGAACGGCGAGGAACGATGGGAAACAGCGAACGGCGCAACGCGCGACGCGCAGCTACCGGTGGGGATGTTGGTAAGCGAAGCGACCATCTTGCGAGATTCAGTCGGAAACCAGCTGCCGAGCAGTGAGGGAAGGTGAACGAAGAGAACCGATGCGTTAGTCTAAGGATTTTTAATGCGCTTCCGAGCCCGGATTTCGCTACCCGCGATTACGACGGAGCACCGAGCACCGCGAGATTTTCGCAAACGGAGAAACCTTGGTTTACCCGGCGAAACATCTTCGAGCAGAAGAGACGAAGCACCGAGGGAGGAGCGGACGTAGGCGAGGTTTGTCGGCGGTCGACGAATCGGGAAAATTCGCTTATTTCCTGTCGGAGACTCGCCCATCGGAGGAACGCAATCGGATCGAAGGTAATCGAGAGAGAGAAGTTTCTGATCGATCGGTTGATATCGGACGTGGTTGGGAGCAGCAACACCTGCGACGCGAAACGAGAATTCTGGATACAACCGGAACGACCAAGGAGAGAAACCAACCGAAAGAAGAGGAAAAAAAAGTGTAGTGTCAAAGTCTGTGATAGTATTTATTCGAAAACATACAAGCTACAACGCGCGCGTATCATCGACTACACAACAGAGAGAGAGAGAGAGAGAGAGAGAGAGAGAGAGAGAGAGAGAGAGAGAGAGCGGCTTCTGCCGTTCGAAGAAACCGTGAGAGCCAAAAGGGCACAGGAGAGTAGATAGCCTTTATATATTTATTTATATCTGTGATACCGACACTGATATACATCGATCTATCCCGGGAGTACACGTCGGTAGAGGGAGAAAGACGAATCGAGGAGAATAGAGCGGAAGAAAACAAGAGGAAAGGAGAAAATACTGTTCTCTACGCCGATATACGCGTTCGCATGTATATCGCGAATAGTGGAGCGACGTTGCGCGTGTACGAAGTATAAAGCAATCGCCAAGTGCCTGCCTGGAACGAAGATTTATATCAGTATCTCTTAGTGTATATAGATGTTTTTGTATATACGACTGACTCTTTTTTACAATTATTGATACCGAGTTAAGGGAAGATCGTTCCACCGTCGTTAGTCGAGGGAAAAGGGAACCGAATAGGAATTTGAATTTCTGCGACGCCGATACCGTGTCGCGGACAAAAATGGTGGAGAAAATCTTGGAAGAGAGAGAGGACGGGTGTTTGGAGGCTAACAGAGGTAGGACGATATTTTTATTTCGTCGAATTTTGGCGATACTCGATTTTATTACGAGCCGAGTAGAACGCGACGCGTTCCCGTTTCTCGATCGCGCGCTCGAACCGCACACCGATGCCCACACTCGACCGACAAATTTGTTCTTTTTTAAACAAATCACTGTTCGCATCGTCGCGTCGATTCAACCTTTTTCTTTTTCCCCGCGACAGTTTCGTCGTTCGCATCGATCTCGTTCTGTTCGCGTTCCACGTTGTTGTGTGCACACGTACGTGCGTGCACGCACGCACGCACGCATACATGCGTCGAGAACGCTTCGATACGTCGCGTGAAATCCATCGGAATACGTAGCAGAATCGGCGAGAACACCGAACGGAGGCGGACCGCTCGAAGTTGCTCGACGAAAGAACTTTCTCGAAGCCGGCACACGGCTAACCGTTCTGTCGCGCCTCGCCGTAGCTTTTATGCATGCTACGCGAATGTAGCGGGTACCATCGCCGCCAAACCTACGTGTCGTTGTTTCGACGTATCCGTAGTCGCGGTTACAGTCGCGACGAAACCCTCGGTCGTCTTTTGGACATGTACGCGAGCAATAATATTCGCGAGTCTTTCGGAGCAACATTTTCAGCGGATCGCGGCAGCACCGTGAAAGATCGGCCGATCGAAAACGCGACGCGTAACGCGTACAGCTGGGCGACGTTGGGCGGCGCGACGCGACGCCAACTTATATATTTTCAAGGGTCGAATTGGGTTAGTCGTATCGTTTCGAGTTCGACGCGCGTATCGCGAAGGGCGCCGTTCTAAGGGCAAGCCGGCACGGAGAACGTTCCGTGAAAAGAGGAATTATGGGAGGGGTAAAGTATCCGCGTTCGCGTGCGTGTGCGAGAAGCGATCGTGGCAGCGAGAAC